AAGAAAATGAGGTCAAGGTCAGATAAACCAAACCGGAAATACATGTACGCCTTACAATCATTCCATACACCAAATAAAGTTGACCTATTGCTTATAGTTTCTAAGAAACAAACTTAACCATGAAAACTTAACATTGACCAATGAACCATGAAAATGAGGTCAAGGTCAGATGAACCATACCAGACAGACATGTTCACCTTACAATCAATCTATGCATTAAATATAGTTGACATATTGCTTATAGTATCTAAGAAACAAACTTAATAATGAAAACTTAACATTGACTAATGTACCATGAACATGAGGTTAAGGTCAGATGATACCTGCCAGACAGACATATTCACCTTACAATCATTCCATACACCAAATATAGTTGAACTATTGCTTAATAGTTTAAGAAAAACAGCCCAAAACATAAAAACTTAACAAGTAGTGACTGAGCAATGAACCATGAAAATGAGGTCAAGGTCAGATGACAGACTGACATGTACATCATAAAATATTTCCATACACCAAATATAGTTGACCTATTGCATATATCTATACTATTAAATGAGAAGACTTCATTTTGTGTGTCGCTCCTCTTCCTTCCACAATAAATTAATCATCATGCCTCTGTGTCCTATAAGTACCATGCATAGTCGCATTTGTCATCCTCGCTTATGATTATTCTGTTTGTGTTATTTTGGGAGGAAAACGAAAATAAAGGCGTCCAGATATTATTTCCGTCTTCGGACGGACTTTTAAGTCATAGACAAAACTTCCGTTTAGGACTGTTTTAAAATTACATAATTTTCATAAGTACTTGGGGACAGGACAATTATTTTCGCTTTTTTCTGTATACTATGATCATTAATATACTATAAATAAAGTGCATTTGATATAGAGAGTCTCTATATAATATATCAGTGACCGCCGTGGATATTCAACTTGGAATTGATAGTAAATAGCAAATACACTTTAGTTATAAAAACGTCAAAATAATTGAAATTAATAGAAAACAAAAAATAGCGGACTTTGGAAAAAAGGGGGAGGGCTAAAAAAAATTGTCCTTTCCCCAAGTACCTATGACTTTTGATACCTTTCCTGAAGTTCTCGAGTCATAAAATCTTTTACAAAAATATATCCTACTACAGTTTACATACTTTCAACCACGCTCTAAATGCCCGCAATTTCACAAGTGTGTTCTAGCATCTATAATACTAAAATAACGAGGTCTAATTTGTTAGCTGTCATGGGGTAAAAACGACGAATCAAAGAATTCAACTTTATATATAACTAATATAGGACAATGGTGTTGATTAAAAATTACACCATTCCAGGCCCTTTTGTTTTCCACTTAATTAATATGACCAATAATTAACAAGTTCCGGGTCGAATCCGATACCAATACCAATAGTATATGTCACCTGATACCTATTACATAATCTGTATGTTCCGCCTCTGTCAGGCGCACCACCAAACGGTGTATTTGGAATTTGCACATGTAGTTTCCGTTTATATTATTTTAATCAGCATGACTTTATAAGATGATAATACGTATACTAAAAATCCAGACTAAAAAAATATACAGCGAAGGTAGTTTCCAATTTGTTAGCCAGCATGACGTAAAAACGGTGAATCAAAGAATCAAACTTTATATATAAATAATATAGGACAATGGCGTTGATTAAAAATTACACCATTCCAGGCCCTTTTGTTTTCCAAATAATTAATATTACCAATAATTAACAAGTTCCAGATCAACGGGTTCAAACAGAAAGATTTTGAGAGCAGAGAAAACTGTGCATCTTATAATCAGCATGACTTTATTAGATGACAATACAAATACTAAAAATCCAGGAAAAATAAGGCTTATATATAATTAGAAACTTTGATTCAGTCACGGACCCGCGGATGTCGTGGGTGTGTTCTAGTAGTATTAAAGAATAAAAGACCAAAACACAAAAACTTAACTTTAACCACTGAACCATGAAAATGAGATCAAGGTCAGATGACACCTGCCAGTTGAACAGGTGTTTACAATCATTCCATACACCAAATATACATGTAGTAGACCTATTGCTTACAATGTATAGTATCTGAGATATGGACTTGACCACGAAAACTTAACCTTGTTCACTGATATATGAAATGAGGTTGAGGTCAGATGAAAACTGTCTGACAGGCACTAGGACCTTGCAAGGTACGCACATACTAAATATTGTTATCCTATTACTCATAAAAAGAGAGAAATTAACATTAAAAAAAATCTTAACTTTTTTTCAAGTAGTCACTGAACCATGAAAATGAGGTCAAGGGCAATGGGCATATGACTGATGGAAACTTCATAACATAAGGCATCTATATATATAAAGTATGAAGCATCCAGGTCTTCCACCAATTTTTGCGGTCGTATAAAAACACAAAATTTATCCGAGATTCATGCCTGTTTCATCACCTGTAAAGTCATATTTAAGTTATTTATATGAAAAAGTTTCTATATTTTAATATGATATATAAAAGCTCTTATAAATTATCTCAATCACTGGTTTAAATTAATGGAATGCTGATTTTCTTACAATGAGGCCAATGAATTGGTAAAGATTTCCTGTCCGTCTTATAATCATGTAATTATAATTATATTTGTACAATTCATTGTTAACCAAACTTTAAAAGTAATCTCACGCAATCAAGCCTAATTATTCTACCACATTGAATATGTATGAAGCCATTAGACATCATGATACATCAAGTCGAATTATGTTATGAACTTTACGGCAATGGAATCATCCCGAATGGGAATGGTGATTCTGGCGACCGGAATCACTTGTGATTTATCTCTTTCGATATGATAGCTTCCATCAGACAGCATGTCAATCAATGAATAAACTCATCTTAAAACCAGAATAAAAATTGAATTTAGATTTCGTCTGATCAATAAAAGAATCGTTCATGTTTTAAACTTTTGTAAGTTTTGAAAGTTTGATACATGTATGTTGATTCTACTTGTCCGACGCCTATGTCTACTTGTCCCGGACAATCGGACAAATAATAATGTCAAGCCCTGTATGATCATCCAATTGATAAAAAACACAGTAATTGATTTGTTGACATGTGAAGAAATCAACTATAACCGTGAATAGACGATATTCCAATAGATTATGCAGACATTTGTAGGCTTCAAATATGTCCCCATAAATTACAGTATCTGAAGTCCATCAAATTTGGGCTACTACGAATCAGGGACTTTATATACATGTAAAATCCCTGTACGAATGCAACATAATTTGATCTAATAAATGGGAAAAAATAACTCATATCCTTAAAAAAAATATTTTTTATTGTTGAATATTTCACAAACAAATCCCCAAACATGTTGGAGAGGTTTTGGAATTGTACATTACTTGATTCCAGCCCATTAAGATATTTAACTGACACTAGTGCACTTTGGTAAACGGATAGAAAGTCACAGGACAGAAAGTCACAAATTTGATAGTCCTGACAAAAAGTCACAAATAATTTGTTTAGAATTGTTTGAATATATAAGAGAAAGTTCTTGAAATAATTTCTTATATTTCATATACTCATTTAACAGTTGAGGAAATCGTTCATAAGCCTTGATAAATGAAGATTTATCAAATTTTAAACATTCAAAGGATATATTTCTTGACACCATGACGCCATTTAAGTACCAAGTCACTTTGACAAATTGTTTTCTTAACAATTATATGATCATTATTGGGTTTTCAGACCTGCCAACTTCTGAAAATCCCCATGGGGGATTTAGTGTGCGACCAGATTTTTAAGGGTTAACATTTTTGCGGCGTTTCTTTGTGCACTGTTATATACTCTTGAAATAGTCGCATATCTCTTCTTTTTTTTCTTTTGGTATACTGATGAGCTAACAAGCCTTGATTTCTTTTATTTGCATGATTCTTGTACTTGTTAATTGGCAAAATAACTGAAGAATAGAGAAAAATGGCCTAATAAAATAAAGGATACAAATAGAAGACCTCCCTTTTCCCCCTCCAAAGACCTTTTTATCTTTCCACCATGCCTCAAAAGACCTAAACCTAAATGTCCTAAAGTTAGAAGGATGGAAACAAGATCTTGAGTTAGTTATCAGTATTGAGAAAATGGATAAAATTTGAGTTATCTTTCTCTGTATTGAAAGGTGCTCGGCGGAGGCTTATACACAGTAGAAGTGAATACAATATGGCGTTGATTTTAAAACAGAACTGGACAGAAACACGTCTGATTACAAAAATTTTCACGGATTTCAAGATAAACGATGTTCATAATGAGTTCATTACAGTTTTTGTCTTTCAGTTAATTACATTTTTGTCATGATACTACGGTAAACGTTGCAAATTGTGATCGTATGCTAAATTGATTTAAATTGAAATGCCGACTGATCGATTCTTTTTACAAATTAATTAATTTTTAGGATCTTTATGACCCATCGGATAAGCAGATTACCTGTGACAATAGATTATGACACCTATTGTGACGGTTGATTAACTTGGGGTCATAAACTTGTCATAAATATTTCGCCAGGTAAAATTATAGATTTACAGAAATTGATCAGAAAAACTTCAAAATCTGTAACCATTACAATTATTGCGGGTAGATTTTGTGAAAATTGGGATTTTGACTTGTTTTACGATCCCCGTATGGGAATTCGGGTTAAGTCATGAAAATCGGGATGATATCGCCAAAATCGGGATAGTTGGCAGTTCTGGGTTTTTTCAGAATAAATTGTGTTTACAAAGTTGCTTTATATATAATAATTCAATAAAAATACAATTCATGTTTTTCAAAATTAGTGTTTTCTTATTCAAAGAAAAATAATCTCAAAACTGAATTGTGACTTTTTGTCCTGTGACTTTTTTCTAGGACTTTTTGTCCTGTTACTTTCTGTCCTACATTCGAAGATGTCATTACTCATATTCATAACTTTATCGAGCGCTAAAATGGCGATACCATGCATTTGTCAGCTTGTTTTGTATGTTTCATACCTATGGCTGAAAACGCTAAACATAAGAACTGCACTACAAAAATGATTGGTTCCCGCATTTTGTTAATCCAGAACACCCTTTTGCTTCACTGCTTTTGGAATTTCTTTAAATTACTACTTTCGCTATTATTAAAGGGAATGACAGCATAGACTGGTTTCCTGTCCTTTATCTGTTTGGCTCTGAGATACCCGTATGTTGCAAGGGAGAGGACCAGCCTCTCTCATTCGAACCTCTCCGTTTTTATCTATAACTTTCTGGGAAATATCAGAGAGTTTCGAACAAGTTGCTTTTAAAAAAAAAAAGACAATAGTGAACCGTAGAACTTTTTTATTCTAAGTATTAATTCAACTGAATAAGAAATTATATATCAGTATTTGCATGGTCATGTGTGTGGAAGATAATATTTTCTTTTTATTGTAAACCATTACAATTTTGGCATGTTGAGAGAAGTGTTAAAAGTAAAGCAATGAGGAAAAAAATAGATTCCCAGACGTATAATTTCTTAAAGAATGATAATGATTCAAAACATGGGGGACACATGTACCTTCTTCCAAAAATTCATAAAATTAATCTAGAAGTAAGTAATGAGGCATTGCGAACTGGTCAGCTAGCAGGACACATTAATGTTCGTTACCGACCAATCATCAATAAATGCAACTCTCCCGCGAGAGATACTTTACTTGATCCATAGAATTAATCTATGCTTGATCTAATTATAAAACCATTATTGAAGAGGCATAACTTTTACATTCAACTGAGATAAAAAGATTCCATCAATAAAATAGAGTCACACGAGGTAAAAAAAGAATGCATTCTTATTGCCTATAGATGATGTACGTCAAGGTACACAAATATGATCATTGATAATTAAGAAGAAATTGAACGCATTAGAATTAATTGACACACAGGAGAATATACTTTAAAGATTCTCAACAAAATAGATTTAACTGCATTTGTTAAATTAATTCTTAGAAACAATGAATTTGAGTTGAATGGACTGTTATACAAACACATTATAGGAGCGCCCATGGGTGGTATATTTTCACCAACATGCACAGATCTGCATCTGTCTGTCCTATTCATTAAAATCTTAGATAAGTTCCAATGGAGAGAAAACATCAAATTACACTGTCAATAGAGATGACGGTTTTATGGTCTTCACAGGCAAATTAGAGCAAGTTGAAGATTTCTTTAACCTAGCAAACGAAATTGACCATCTACTTTAGTTCTAATATGAGGTGTCGACATCTAGTATGACCTATTTAGAGGGTGGTAAAGGGTTATTTTCGTGCAACGTTTTCGGCCTTTTTATTTCACGTAATTTCGTGTTTCGACGTTTTATTTCTCGTTTTCTCTTGTTTGGTTCGACGTGCGTGCTTCGTGTTTTCCCTTAATTATTTTCCGTGTTTCGTGTCGGTACTCGGTTTCTCGTGCTTGTCCCGCATTTGATTAAAAAGTAAACTTTGGCCGGGACTAATTCAAAGTCAGCCCAGATATTGTTTTAAATTATAAACTAATAGACCACTTTCGAGTTCATCCTTCACCGGAAAAAACTCGTCAATTATGCGCGCCTTTATGACGTCATTTACGGTAGACTCTACGTATCACTAGCCTAGGGTAGTATGAATATTCATGAGTTTTATGAAGCAACGCTGGATACGAGATCACGTCATTGGCGCGATTATCTAATTTCACAGAACTATCAGCAAGCGGAAAACAAAAATATGTTCAGAAGTTCTTAGATATTTCCCAAGATGTAGGGCATATATCACTGGAACAGAGACGATACCAAAATAAGTATTTTGAATACTGAATCAGCTTTAGATATTGTGCACAAACACGGCATCTAGGCACTCAAAAGACGATTATTTAAAGGGGGGAGTTACACGCAACGAATGCATACGAGGGCTACCCTATGTGTTACATATGAAAACATACAGAAGAGCTATATTAAACCAGCGACAGTAACAGATCCAAATTTTCATTAGGAAGGGGGAGTGGGGCTGCTCCAGTCAATGGCATAGGGACTTCAGTCTTGACTACGGGTCAAATATATACATGTAATATACATTATAGCGCGTCAATCGTCTACATGCATTTAAAAAAAACGTATGCCCCTACTGTAGACGATTTATTGGCTATATATCTTATCTGTAGTCCAGTCCCTATATATGCTCCAGTCATGCCTGGGTGATTCCCTATATATCCACCAATTTTCCCTACAAGAGGGGGGTCCAATGCACCCTGCTCACCCCCTAAATCAGTGTTTGAGAGACACATATTCACTTGTATATATGTCTCAGAATAAACCAATGTAAAACCAAACCTTAGCCTAACTCAATTACTGATTAGACCAATAATTATGATGTCTTGAAAGACTATTTTATTTTTTTTTGTCATAATTATCTGGACTACTGCTACCTATGATCCCATCATTAACATATGGTCGAAAGGGGTGGGGCAAGGGTGTTTATTTCATCTTGCACACAGGTACAGGGTTTGTACAGACATCTGGCTGTTGTAAACCAGACACCCCATTCATATGCATTTATTGTACATGTATTTTTGTTTGCAAGAATCTGTACATATATACCCGTTGTTCATATAAATTTCAGAAGAAAATCATTACCCATTGATCCATAAATATATATTTTCCAAGCTATCGTAAATATAAACTATGACATCTTTAGATGTAACTAAAAACCTGGGTTCTTTCATATTATTGAACAAAAACATCAGTACACAATTTTACAGACATCTAAGATTATCATAACATTTAAACATGCTATCTGGTTACTAACTTTAACTGATTTTATAAATTTTTTGTAGTAATCCTTGCATTCTGTTTATTTTTAAAGGAATTCATTGACCATACAAAGGAATATATGTTTGTTTGCCCTAACCCTACCTGCATGTACTCAAAACATAGCTGCCTACCCAAATTCTTTTATTGTTCTGATGTGAAAAAGTTTTCTTTTAATCTGATAGGCATGAAGACTAAAAAACATCTGACACTTCAATTTCCCTTTGCTGTGAGAAAAAAGAAAATGCCTACCAACCTACCCACTGTCTCTAAAATGTACTTTTGGGTAGGGTAAGGGCTAACTAAAATATTTATAAGTGTAGCCTTACAAATGTGACATCAAAATTTATCAGTGTAAAAATTATTTCAGGTTTAAATAGTCTTCTTGAAAACTTGGACATAATGACGTAAAAATCTGCTAAGAGGTGTGCAAATTGAGCAGGGGATGCCCCACAAACCCTTTCTGTTAGTTAACATTTACAGTGTCCAGTTATGTACCCGTTTAAGTTTATTCTGTCCTTTTAAATTTGTGAATAAAGGAAGTATCTTTATTAATAATTTATATATATATATGCTCTTATTATGTTCAAAACAACCTGATTACTTTTTGTTTAGTTCTAAGTAAAAACTAGGAGTAAGGGAATTTTCTGCTAATGGAATTTAGACATTTTTTTTTAAATTTCAACCTAAGGTCAAATATATAAATTTCACTTGTCCACTTAATCATGTTAATATGAAAAACTAAAGTGCAAGGAGTATTTATTTATCTACATTTCTTGTTTCAGCAATTGCTGTACCTTTCCAGTTACTTATTATGTGTTGTGTATTAATTTGACTATAACACTTTTGAGTGACTGGATAGGTTGATAATATTCATCAATTGAAAAAGAAACTGGAGAGATTGGTAATAGTTTTAGACAGCGGCAATTGAAGGTACACAAATTTAGGTTGTCATATAATCAGCCTACAAAGTCATATCAATAGCCCAGGCTAGTGGTCAATAAGCATGAGTCATCAGACATCAGTCATATCAATGGCCTAGGCTAGTGGTCAATTATCAGGAGTGATCAGTCAACAGTCCTATCAATAGCCTAGGGTAGTGGTCAGTTATCTGGAATGACCAGTTAACAAAGCCATATTACTAGCCTAGGGTAGTGTTCAATTATCAGGAGTGATCAGTTTACAAAGTCATATCACTAGCCTAGGGTAGTGGTCAATTATCTGGAATGACCAGTTAACAAAGTCATATCACTTGCCTAGGGTAGCGGTCAATTATCTGGAATGACCAGTTAACAAAGTCATATCACTTGCCTACGGTAGTGGTCAATTATCTGGAATGACCAGTTAACAAAGTCATATCACTAGCCTAGGGTAGTAGTCAATTATCTTGAATGACCAGTTAACAAAGCCATACCACTTGTATAGGGTAGTGGTCATTTATCAGATCAGTTCAGTTAACAAATCTATATCACTAACCTAGAGTAGTGGTTAATTATCAGGAGTGATCAGTTAACAAAGTCACATCACTTTCCTAGGGTAGTGGTCAATTATTAGAAGTGATCAGTTAACAGAGGCATATCACTAGCCTAGGGTAGTGATCAATTTTTAGGAGTGATCAGTTAACAGAGACATATCACCAGCCTAGGGTAATAGTCCATCATCTGGAATGACCAGTTAACAAAGCCATATCACTAGCCTAGGGAAGTGGTCAATTATTTTGAATGACCAGTTAACAAATTCATATCACTAGCCTAGGGTAGTGGTCAATTATCTTGAATGACCAGTTAACAAAGCCATATCACTAGCCTAGGGTAGTGGTCAATTATCAGGAGTGATCAGTTTACAAAGTCATATCACTAGCCTAGGGTAGTGGTCACTTATCTGGAATGACCAGTTAACAAAGTCATATCACTAGCCTAGGGTAGTGGTCAATTATCTGGAATCACCAGTTAACAAAGTCATATCAGGAGCGTAGGGTAGTGGTCAATTATCTTGAATGACCAGTTAATGAAGCCATATCACTAGCCTAGGGTAGTGGTCAATTATCTGGAATGACCAGTTAACAAAGTCATATCACTAGCCTAGGGTAGTGGTCAATTATCTTGAATGACCAGTTAACGAAGCCATATCACTAGCCTAGGGTAGTGGTCAATTATCAGGAGTGATCAGTTTACAAAGTCATATCACTAGCCTAGGGTAGTGGTCAATTATCTTGAATGACCAGTTAACGAAGCCATATCACTAGCCTAGGGTAGTGGTCAATTATCAGGAGTGATCAGTTTACAAAGTCATATCACTAGCCTAGGGTAGTGGTCAATTATCTGGAATGACCAGTTAACAAAGTCATATCACTAGCCTAGGGTAGGTGTCAATTATCTGGAA